GTATTAAATTTAATAATTTCATGTAAACTTCTGAGCGGATTTCCGACAGTACGGTTTCCAGCTCAAAAGGTTTTAAAGATGCAAAGTATTCATTTCGTGGATCACTTGGTCTCTGATCAAAAACTTTTGCGTCACCATCTTCTAACTTTGCATAATGGACACATTTGGTTTTGACTGTGTTGATTTATTTGAGAAATAACAAAAACCCAAAAAAGGGCTTACAACACTAGTTGCATTGAGTGATAAATGTTTAACGTGATTTTACGGTGACGGCGCTAAGGCAACTCACAATACAGCGCTATAATCTCCTTGGCCGCACGTAATATTACGATGATGGCGACCGGCGATTGTCCGCACTAGTGCGGTTCTGCGTTATGAAATTTTTATATTATTGTTATAAATATTAAATAATTTTAAACTTAAATACATTTTAATTAGTACAAATACTTGCATCAAAGTAACACTATGGTTATTTTCTAATGAAAGTATACACTTTCATTGCAAATAGTGACAGTAATATCTATAGTGCCTTGTTTGTTCTTAGACAACCTATTAAGTATTTTTCGAATTCGCCCCATCCCTAGTACTCGTAAAATTACGTGATTGGCGATACAGATAATGGAGACGGTGACCACAATTTAATTAAACCTCAAATTTCACAGTATTTATCACTCAAAACATTGAGAAATATCCATAACAATAAAGATTATACCCTACATCTTGAAATTGACACATTTTATATGGAGTTTGTGCACTATAAAAAGATTTTTAATAAAATAACGTGATTGTACGTATGTGGCGATTCGGACACAGCTTTCGAAAACCGTAATATTACGTTGTCGGCGGTTAAAGGGTTAAGAAATGTTGAGATAAATGTTCAATTTTGTCCCAGCATTAGATATAGACTCTAAATTTTTACGATTTGATCGTATTTGTTGTTACGGTCAAGATTTGTTGTGAGTAATTTACTGTTCTTTAAAGTAGTCTATAGGTCATATCGACATCTAAGCATACATATAATGCGGATAGGAGAAAATGTATTTATAAAATAGTAAAATATATTGACATTTTAATCAATTAATTAAAGTAAGTTAGTAAGTTCGTAATACTTATTGGGGCAAAAATAGATTTGTAGTTAACATGTTTTGTAGTTCACAGTAAACACATGCCCATAGAAGGAAAAAGAGTCTGCCTATATATTTTTATGGCATGCAGTGAAAATGTCGAAATATGCGGAAATTCCCATATGTCACCTTGTTCACCCACCCGTCACATATTTTTATGACTGACCTGTTTTTATGGATATTGCGCTTTATAATTTACTATATTCAAATTCGTTGTTTCGTAATAACAACACGGAAACTGAATATGCTTCAATAGTCTCAGTAAGACTTATTTTTGTGAACTATTTCCTTTTGTACAGGATACTGTAGTGACTGAATTGACTATAATTTTTTAAGGTTTCTTTCATAAATTAAGGAAATGAAAAAGAGTGAATGAATTTGTTAGTATTTACTTTCTATCTTCGTTTTAGCACACAGTTATAGACGTAGGTATAGTAACACAGTCAGCTGTAGTCACAGAGTTCCTAAAGATTTTGTTCACACTAATCTGTACAACAAAATGAAAATAAAACTAGCATTCATTCTTTTTTCTCCCATAAAAATCCAACCATGTCCTACAAAATAGTAGTTCACGGTATTTTGTCTTTCTGTTATATTATGTCCAATCTTTTCTTTTGGGTCGCCCGCGCCGTCCGGAGTCTTAAACTTATATAATGGTTATTGATGATCGCTAGCTTGCTTTAGGCTATTGCTTCCTCCTGGTTCAACATGTCGAAAAGTAATTCCATTTTGCTGAAAGTCCCGCTTCATATTGTCTGATATCTATTGAATAGTTTGGTCTACGTATTACCTACGACTTACGAGTATGTATTTTGCGCTAAAAGCCCAATTGTATACTAGGTATGTATTATTTATGTATTTCGCGAAAGTGTCCATTCGTTATGGTTGCTTAGGTACTTACATGGAAAATTGACTTACTGGAAATGTTATGATAAGCTGCTTGTGAATTGCATTTCGTGTTTGTTGATTTAGTTTCTGTGTGTGTCTAGTTTCTGTAATACTAAGTAAGTAGCCACATATTTCTCTATATTTATAATTTATAACCAACTAGGCTAATGATAATTAATATAACTATTTCTGTTTTTGTTTAACATATTTTATATACACAGTATAACATAGCGTTGTTGAATAATATTTCAAGACTTTTTTGTTGATTTTTTTTATATTTGATGGGCCGATATTTGACCACTATCTCGCCTGGTGGTGAGCGATGATGCGGTCTACGATGGAGCACGTCGTCCCATAAGCAACCTATTCACTCGGGCCTTGATGACACCCAGGTTATTCAGGCAATACAGACTCTGGACAAAGAATTCCACTCCTAGCAGTACGCACAAGGAAGCTTGTTGCGAAGCGCTTCTGTTTTACACTTTTTAAGTGAATGATTCGAATGCCTATTACTCATTTAGGAGGAGTGAAGATCAGTTGTAAAGTTAGTAGATTTTGAGTGTGAATACCTACTTAAAATCCCGAAGGTCTATAATTTGAGCGAAATTCAAATAGTTATAGTCAAATCATACAAAGTTTACATTATGACGTCTAATATCCCTTTTGAATATCTATAACTCTAAATAATATTCATTTTCGAATTCACCAACTAAATGTCTCAAATTCAGATATGATATTATAGTTATTGGGTAACTTTACTAATTCTTGTCAGTGACCGTAAAGTTTGTTGTATCTTACTCGTCTGAGCTTAGCCTATATGTACAAGTTTTCCAACTTCTGATCAAACAGAAAGAATTATCACATTTATAAGCAATGGTGATAATGAGACAGTGAAGAGCTAAATTGTTATAAGTAGCCTTTTAGTCATTGGTTCTATTTTCTGTTATACATACATATATATAATTTAATTATGGTATATTTAAGTGTAAGTAGGTATGTAATTATGTATGTATGTATGTATGTATATTTGTACGTATGTGTATGTATGTATTATTACTACTTTATTTATTAATTTTCTTAGTACACAACCCGTCTAAATATTTCTTTTGCATTATATCCACCCAAAGATTGTCTGGTAGAAATCACTATAAGTGATAAGACCGCCTTTGTGCCCATTATTATTTTATTTATGTTTGTCATTTCCTTTTCTGTATGTATTAGATTATTAATAGTGTACAATAAAGTTTAGTTTACTATATACGTAGTCTATATAAGTATGTCTTATTGTAGAAGAGCATATGAGATATGACTACTAAGACAAACACTTATTTTTAAGTGTGGGAGAGCCATGCTTCGGTACGAATGGGCCGGCTTAACCGGAGATACCACGGCCTCACAGAAGACCGACGTGAAACAACTATGTGTTGTATTTCGTCGTGTGAATGAGGTTACCGGAGGCCCAATTACCCTCCCCCCTTTTCCCAATCCCTGAATCCCCAACAATCCTCGAATTCCTAATCCAGAAGGCCAGTAACGCACTTGTAACGCCCCTGGTGTTCCAGGTGTCCATGGGCGACGCCGATTGCTTACCATCAGGTGATCCGTCTGCTCGTTTACCGGCTTATCCTCCTTTAATATATCTGTGGGCTTATCCCATAAAATAATACGAAATTGCCTGATACTGTAGCTCTAGGTAAATCATAGTACTACAAACATCAATGAATATTCCGCCTCCCATGTAATCATATTAATATCTATGATCACTCAGAGATTCCGTGTCACATTGTTCACTGTCCGACCCAATTAACAACTATAAGTAGGGAATTAATCCATACAACATACTAACTAGACACATCTACGTATTATGTTATTTATGTATACATACATAAGTCTCTATTTAGATATCCATTCCGAGAACATATGAATTATGATGGCTACATGTAACAATAAGTTATTCTATTCACAAAATCCGCGGATCCGAACGAAATCAAATGTAAAAATGGCGGAGTTTTGTTATTTTTGTCTAGTCACGTACTCGTGTTTCACGGTGAACTAACTTTGCTCCCTTCCTACTGTGGCAGTGTACGTCCCTTGACGGAAAAGGATTTGGAACCTTCTGATTATGAGTTATGGCTTTATTTTGTTCCATCACTGTTATAATGTCTGGATTA